ATGTCCGTCCGGTCATCAAAGAGCCTGAGATTCAGAAATGTACTTCGACCTCCAAACAACAAGGTGCTTAACCTGAATACACTGGAAAACCTGGGAAAACAATAACGGTTCGTGATGACTCTCTCATAATCATGAACCTCATAGACAACCCTGACCTTCCTCTCAGTTTGCAGGACAAAAATGACAGGATGATCTGGGGTGAATTAAATAAGAAGCTTGAAGTTCCTAGATTACAGCCTCTGACGATCACACGGCTCACTCGGGGAAAGGAATGTAAGCATCAAAATCACCCAAGGCTACTTCGTGTAACACTTAAGAATGCTACTGACGTAGAGGATATCCTGCTAGCTAGTCATTTACTGAAATCCGATGGGAACGTAAGAATACTGCCCGACACACCGTATTCTGAGCGCAATCTCATCCGGAACATCCCTAAAGAATCTCGTGAGAAGTTTTTCCGCGGAAGAAATATAATCGTGCAAGGTGTACCGGAAAACACGAACCCTAGTCAAGCAAACTCTGATAATTAGGGAATGGAAATTCATCAAGCAGTCCTTGAGGTTCAAAAACATAGTGGCCCAACATGTGACGAGACTAGCCAAGAAGGACGGTGATTCTAGACCGCGGCTAATGAGGATAACTTTCCCATCCTCTCATATGGCGGCTGCAACTGGAAGCATTTCGTGTCAACAGACATCGGTTGCCAACTGGAATCCATATGCACCACCCGGACAGGCCATATGAAGCTAGGACCAAACACAAAGGCAAGTTGGAGCTGACCATTCCACTTGTCGACTGTCTTGTTTATAAAAAAGACGTGTAAACGTCAGCGCCTACCAACTCGACAAACCTTATATAGGTAGACTACCTGTTAATTCACATAAGGCTCATACAGACAAACAGGAAGGAGAAGTTCACACGTTTCAAATTGAAAGCATAAACTGCTTATACATGAACGCCGCGAGTCTACCAAATAAAATGGATGAGCTACGTGAACTTAGTAATGCTAATAAGGCTCATCTGATAGGAATATCTGAAACTTGGGTATCTTCTCAGTTCTCGGACCAGGAGCTAGCAACACCTGGGATGTCTTTGTTACGCAACGACAGAAAAACAGGAATTGGGGGTGGAATAGCCGTATACATACGAACTTGCTTGGAGGGGGGAAGCGATCACGCTGTTATAGCTTTCAGTTTTGTCAGCAAAACTGAGCTCAGATATCTCACTAACAACAGGCGCTGGAATTTCAAACGGTTGAATGTGTCAGATCTACGTATCCAACCGGAAGCCACGAAATCAGTTCGAAGACTCAGATTTAAACCTTATGAAGAATGCCTCAAATCACTTAACCTTTACCTATTAGAGGTGACCTCATGGCTTATAGCATTCGATCTGCACTAATAAGGACTAGACACGCATGTTATTTATCACCACCCAGTGATCAATCAATTGTGATTACATCTCAGTCCTAGAGGAGTTTAGTCGCAGCTCGGATAGCTCAGTGGTAACGTCTCTGACTGTGAAGCTGGGTGACACGAGATCGAATCCTCCAGGGAGCACCAGTTCCCTCAAGATTACAGGTGCACTTTGCTGACGAGTGGCACGAAACCCAGGCCCAGGGTTTCCTCTTGACTACCTCCAACCACCATCTAAATCTCAATATATAGTGCCCGCAGTGTCGAATCACCTAGACTGGTGGCCACATCGCAACATGATCGATAGCATTCGATCTGCACTAATAAGGACCAGACACGCATGACATTGATCACCACCCAGTGACCAATCAATTGTGATCAAATCTGGCTAGCGATCGTAGTAGCAGTTGAACACGGCGTTCCCACACGTGATCTGGTGCGGATGCCTGACCGAGCGCCTTCAGCTAAATGAGTACACTCAAACTAATCTGCTCAGCATCCAATGTCGAAAACTTACAGAGCTATTTATTTTGGGGATTTATTTACCGCTACAAGTCACTCTCCCACCTAATGGGGTAGTGATAACCCTAAAACGTGGCCAGCCAGAAGTTTAAACCCAACGAGTTTGTCGTTGGTAAACACTCTTCTGATAGCTTACTAGGTTTAGCAGCGTCTGGCCGTCTTTCCTTACTATATGGGACCGAGGTACAACATAGTAAAGAAAGAAAAAGTACAGTGAAAATTTCGGCTCCTCGTAAACTACATCGCTCTTTTCCAGCCGTCCTGGAAAAAAAAAGAAAATGTAAGTGCATGTCGAAATACACTCGTACGCGCGTAAAAACACAATGTCGGCGAAAAAAAAGGAAAATAAACTCATGAACACGTAATTGCGTTAAAAAATTTGTTTTCTTTTTTATTAAATAATGTAAATATATAAACATATTAAAACTGTTATTTTTTAAATATTATATATCGTAAAAAGAAAGATCGAAATAATATAAAATGTCGAGTAGTGCCTTATGTGCAGTAGTCGTTTAAATGTTCTGGAAATCCTACTCTTCTTCCAGAACGCGTCGTTTTAAGTTTATTTTCAGATACATCCGGAGTATCGTCGTGTGTGTTGGTTGTCGGTTGAGGAGTTATGAGTGTAGGAGTCGTGTTATGCGATTGTACCGAAGGGAAATCGACGTAGATAGGATTTCCTTCTAAATACGCTGCTTTTGAGCGATCGATGCTGATGCTATCGTTTGTTCCGTTCTTATCGACTATATAGTACTTAGATTCATGTTGAAGAACTTTGAAAGGTCCCTCGTATGCTGATTCGAATGGTCGTCGATGCGACTATCGACGAACGAAAACGTGTGTACTATATCGTAAGTCAGGTTGAACGAAAACATCAGTTGGTTGTGGTCGAGTGGAAGCAGGTTTAACTGAACGCATTGCGTTTGTAAGCCTGTTCGTGCAGGAGGTTAGATCCATGTTCATTGAAGAGGATGAAGGATCCACGAATTCTCCTGGAAGTCGAAGTGTCGTTCCATAAACGAGTTGAGCCGCAGTGTATCCAATGTCAGCTTTCACTGCATTACGAATACCTAGTAAACGAGTGGAAGAGCGTCTCTATAGACCTTTTACCCCCAACTGGTATATTTTTGTTTCTATTGTCCAGCCGATTATATTTCATTTCAATGTCAACATTTAATGATGCTGAGCCTTCCTATTCCAATTACAATTTCCCTATCTTTATGAATATTCAAGACCTCAACAATAGAACTATCATTAGCTTCTCTGATAAAAATAACGTAACACTTTTGTTTATTCTACCTCATTGTTACCATGTTTAACAAAAGCTCATTATTACTACTATTGTAACTGTTATCATCTTGAAAAGTAAGTATACATTATTATTGTACGGTTTTGAAAGTTGATTCGCCGAAAAGATAACTCCTTGTTGAACCAGCCACTTTTAGTTCTTTCAAGGTTTATTCCATAACTGACGTAACGAAATTTCCGTTATGATTATCCGTAAAATTGCAGTATCTAGTGTTTGCAATTCTGAGGGATAAACGTATAGTCATTCTTTGGATGTATCTACATACTTTATCACAAAGAAATATGTAGCAAGGAACAAATGCACCAACCGAATCACACCCAAACAGTTATTATATGTATTGTGAGAAATGTACATAATTGCTGAATAATTAAGAAATGGTAATATTTAGATAGCCTCATTTCATTTGAAGTGAAGAAACAAATGACATACCATCAGTTTGTAGTAATCTATTTTGATGCATTTGATTCCTCCTTTTGTTAAAAGCAATAAGGAAAAAATCCAGAGCTAACCTAACTATTCATCGAAATTACACGTCTTCATATTAATCTTGATTCTTACTCGTTGATGCTACTCCCAATACTAGCCTAACTAATCACTTATTTCACAGGCTTCCTGATATTGCAAAAAATTATTTTTTATTTGAGTTTCAACTTTTATGTATTTCACTTGAATTAACAACTCTATTCTTTTGTGAGAACGACGGTACTTTGTTAACATCTCTCACTGGTATACGGCCAACTATAAAATACAGACCTTAAACAGTTTAAATCCATAATCGTAGATTTACATAAAATAATACTTGCAAGATGACAAATCCAAAGTGTTAAGGAGTTGTGGTTTGCAAGCACTGACTGTTTAGAACTGCTTTGGTTACTTAATTTTGGATAGTAGATTGATATTTTTTATCCTTACAATAAGTACGATACAAAGAAACATCCCAATAATTAAAAAGTCAATGAAATGAGGACTGCAATTCATTGATAAAGTATAGATCCATATATTCAGCTTTGATTAAAACTTATTTAGTGAAGGCTAGAGGTGGTACTCGGTTACATGAACCGAAATAGGCGAAGAGTAAGCAATCCCTAAATAAGTATATCATTCTAATCTAGTAATGATAACTGTTCCATAACAGAAGACAAAACGCTTGTGCTACTTAAATTAGATATAATGAAAACAAGTACCTCATAGTTGAAAAAGTATGTTCACAAATAATTAATTTCATGCTAGCGAGACCAAATGAAATGATATTTGAGAAACTCAGAACTCAAATACAATGTACCGACGCTCAATTCAGTTGAAATCCCAAAGCTTTAATAAAAAGAACTGTGAATATAAATCGGATAGTAAACTAGCAACCCTTAAATTGTCTCTTTGTATTAGGAAATCAGCCGGAAACAATGAATACAAGAAAACCCAGAAGGATCAAAAAAGGTTGTTCAACAGTCTAAACAAACAATTGAAACAAGGTAATTAGAACGATTAAAACAAGATCTCTTCATGGGCAGACTATAACGAATCAAATGAATGCTATAAAATCTAGAATAGGTCATTGGTAAGAGATTAAAATTATAAGAATTATAAAACTTCCGTATACAACCCATGACTGATCGAGGTACAAGATCATTTATTAGTTTCAGTGGAAACAGGGATGCCAATAAGCAAGAAAATATAACTTCTTAATCACGACATTCATATATTTTAAAAATAACGTTAACCAAACGGTGAGTAGAGTATATTTCAAAAAGTATAATTCAAAACATAAAGTGGTTCAAAATCTCGAAATGATAGTCTAATGAACAGATCATCTCATTTTTTGATCTCAAATTGGTAAACGGTGATTCTGAATTTTCATGATCAACAGGCATAAAATGCAATTGCTTTTTAAAAGGCAAATTCAAGTGAGATAAAATATCCAGAAATTTATAAAAATCATTAGATTTTTGAGGTTTTAGCTGGTTCATTATCTGTATGTTATGTAAAATACAAAATGATAACATTAGCTTATTATGAATTTCTACAGGATAGTATGAAAAGCCTATGCATAGGGATTTGAAGAACGGCTACTATTGTTTCATTCATGCGTAAAACAGAAGCTGTCTGAAGATAAATATATGAGTGTTTCTATACATCTCAGACTAGTATTATCAGCAAAGTCACTTATCGTTAGTCTGAACTATGTTGGTAGGCTCAGATTATCTGATTGGGATCCGGGCCGTAATTGAGACAAATAGTTAGACATCCCAGGTAACACAGCTACAAATCAGCTGCACATTCATTTCTTCCTTATCTCTACCTTGATTTTGATTTCCAAGCTCACTCCATATATTTTCTTTCGCAAACTTATTCGTACTTTATAAACCACACTCGCTTTATGAAGCACCATACGAGATTAAGTTTTATTTAAATTTGGACAGTATGTCATTTAACACCTTTCATTCTATGTCCACCTACTCCCCTATTCTTTTAAACTATTGATGGTACTGCAACTTGAATATATCATGACTCTAAAGAAAACTTTTCTCACTTGTACAAAGAATTTGTACTTTGAACAATAAATAAAATAATAAAGGGATAATAGTCAAAATATATCAGTTAATAACTAAATACCTGATAGGGAGATGCATGGACATGTATTCTGGGACATGAGACGGGGTTCAGCAAAGATAGGTAGTTAAGCGAAACTGGCCACTGATGATGTGTACCTGAATGTCCAGAATCAAGCCAGTAAAAGTCTGTTATGATTTGAGAAAGTCCCAATACTTGTGCAGGAACACCTTTCACGGAATCAGTGGGTAATTTTTTGGAGCGGGATAATACTGAAAATTCATATAATATCTCTGTCAAAACACAACAACCTTTGCTAAAACCAATCAGTCTTATAGGGATAGTAGATATTTGACACTGTATATTAGCTTCACAATTTAACAACTTTTTAGCTGCATTTGACAGCAAACAACTTAAATGCATCATTCCTGTCATTTTACAGATATCGTCATTTTCAAATAATGGCACACCAGATTTCGTAAAAGGCATGAAATTAACATAACAAGCTATTGAATTAGATATCCAATGTGAAGCACGAATAATCCACACATGGGGATTAGAGTCACGAAAGTGATTGGTAAATCGTACATACAAATTTTGGGCAGTATCTTCCAAATTCCATCTAATATACTGATTATTAAAATTATTTTGACTCATATTATATTCGTAATCCTAAAAATAATAAGTAGAATAAAACTGCCCTACATTAGCATTAAAGATGATTTTAACATGAAAGTATAGTTACTTTTTTTCAGAAAGAAAACGTAGGAGTGTAGAGACAAAAATTAGCCAGAAAAATCAAATCTATCCTGTCTTGAATATCATTATTACAAAACATTTTATCCACACTTTTTTTGGAAAGTTAGAGGTTTTTCATTCTAGTACAAAAACAGCGGCGTCAATCACACTTCATTGTTCTTGGAAATGATTATAGTAACACTGAGATTAGGATCAATATGAACCAAAAAACTACACATATATGTGTTTATAGGAAACAGCGGGTACATTCTGTTGATCAGTGCCATCCATAACGTGACTTGGCTTCATGTTGATTCACTCTAATTATTCAACAAGAAACTGGTTAATTCAGTATTTAAAAACTGGTAAGTTAAACATACATTAAGAAAAAATATCTATTCCGTTTCCGTATCAAGTCGAATAGCTTCCTTAGAAATGTGTCAGAGAGAAAAGCTTGAATCTGACTTTTTAAATAGACTTGATGGAACCCGAAGCTAAGGCCTGGAAATGTATCATTTGGCTGACTTAAGTTACTTCACAATAAAGAATACATAAGAGACTTTAATAATCCCTTATCTCATAGAGTAAAATTACGTCAATTCAGTTGGTCGTAATTAACATACGATCTGGCACATTATTGTCATGAGATCCTAGTCGTTTGTATAATATACTACTTTACCTTCTGGTACTGAAACTAAACAAAGACTTACATTATTCTTGAAACGTAAAATCACTTTCGAAAGAAGTTAAATCAGTGTCTAACACTTTCTATTCTTAAAATAACCTGACGAAATTTTAATACAGACACAAAAACATTATACCGATTTGTAGCTTCTTAATCCAACTGGGAAGAAAACAATATTTTAAAATGTGCATAAAATGTCGCAACTTAAGAATTAATTAGTTATCTAAACATAAGCTTGTTACGATAAATATGTCATATGACGTCAAATAATTTGTAGTTGATTGGTGACTTGGTGGTGACCAATGCCATGTATATCAAGTCCTTCTTAGTACAGATCGAATCCTATTAACCAAGTTGCAATGTGGTCACCAGTCTAGGTGACTCGACATTGCGTGCACTATGTTGAGATAAGATGGTGGTTGGAGGTAGTCAACAGGAAACCCTGGACCTAGGTTTCGTGGTACAGGTACACCTTACTGACGAGTGCCAAGTAGCACAAAACCTAGGTCCAGGGTTTCTTATTGACTACCTCCGACCACCATCCGAAGTCAAATAATATTAGGAAACAACGAAAATAGATAGTACACGGTTGTGAAATATAAAGAATGAAAATGAAAGACAACAGGGTTTTTTGAAGCATTGTTCACATGGTCGAGTTAAGTATCACGTACAGGGAGCAGGTTGGTTAGTGAACTTTTATCGATTGATGTGAATAAATAATACATTTAGAGCATATGAACACCACTTACCACAACGCTTTATGCTAGCCGGAGAAATAGTTAGGCATCAAGGGTTTTCGACTGATCAAACCAATTTTGGTGGCCTGCATGAATACCTGAGCTACCTGTTCCTGCCACCTAGATATTTCGAAAGGTTATTTGTTTTTGTTTGTTTTAACACACCATTATGTCTATTAATCGCATAACCTATTCAGGTGCGTTTCTGAAAGTCAGTCAGTCAGTAACAACGTAGAACTTCGTACGTACGTACATCAGTTCGAGTTGCCACACGACATTAGCACAGAGATGCAGTTGTCGATTCAAATCCCGTAGTGGTAGAGGTAATAAGAGTATAAGTAGTAATCGGAAACCTTAAGGTTTGAAGATGATATTTAAAGAGTATAATCCAGTGAAATAAATTTGGAAAGAGTAAAAAGAACGGGACATGAAGAATTCAGAAGACTAGAATTTGGGAGAACACAAAGAATGTATGCACCTGAGCCATTGCAAATGATTTTGAGCCATGTCATTCAAGGTCTCTAACCATCGGTTGCTATCATCTCGCGGTCCCCAACCAGGTAGTCTACACCTACCAACATGACTCAGTCCACTTGTCAGTGACTTCATGGACTTGTGCAATGTTTTGGTCTGGCCGCCCCTAGCTTTCTTTCAACCTACTCCTATACCACGGAACATCGCTGTATAAGTCACAAGAACGTACAATCAGAGACATTATGGTGGCTGGGAATATGGATTAAAAGAATGAAAATTATTCAGGTGTCGATTCCCGAACTGCTAACATACTTTGGGTTGAGAGACATCGTCCAACATGGCGACCGCCTGCACCAAACCAACGATGGACTCAAATAGACCATATTGCCATCAGTCATCGTTGGAAAGGGTCGAAAGAAGATTGTCGCTCATTCTGGAATACCTGTTTGGACTCCAACCATGCTTTAACACGGGCACGCATCTGCAAGTGCCCCATTAGACGCAGAAAAGCTACACTAAAAAGACCCATCGGAATTGAATTGAGTGACGAGAAAATCGAAAGTAGGTTCCAGGAACAACTGAGGTCACACTTAGGTAGTTCTGAAAACGAGGCTGACCCAGATGTTGCTCGGAAAGATATCCAAACAACTGTGGAAATAGCAGTGACATCTGTGAGTGATTTACACCAAAGGGTTACAAAAAACCAATGGGTTTCTTCTAAGTCTATTGCACTGATTGATTCTCGTAAACTCATCTCATCAGACTCTGAACACGATGAAGAGCGAAAACAAATCATATCTAGGTTAAGCAAAAGTCTAAGGAACGACCGTGAGCATTGGTGGGCAACGAAAGCGAAAGAGATGGAAAAGGCGGTGGCTGTAGATAACACAATACAGCTCTATAGACCAATAAAAAAGACTGGAATTAATAAGTCAAGTGTATGTGAGACTATCTCGGAAAAAACGACACTCCTATTTGCACCCAGTCTAGACGTTTAAAACGATGGGTGGGATATTTTAAAGAGAAGTTCAGCTGGCCTTCAGCTACTCTACAACTACCCACCACTCCCAGACAGCGTGGATGGAACATCGAAGTAGGTCCTCCGATTCTATCTGAAGTTCGAAAGACTATAGTTAATCTGAAACGAGGAAGAGCAGCTGGTCCAGATGGATTGGTCCCAGATGTCTTTAACTATGGTGGTCCAGTTTTAGCGATTAACTTGACTAGTATGTTAACTTATTTATTTATTTCAACACATAGATATTGGTACAAAGAGGCACCAAATATATATGCGCCACACAAATCTCATTCGATATATGCGAGGGCTGTGATACTGCCCGGGTGCCCGAGTCGGACCAGGTGGTTTTCTTAGGAGGCCACTCCCAGAGCCTTCGACCTGAAGGTCTGATCTACAAGGCAGTGGAGCATCGTAAGGAGATGCAGTCCCATTGAAGCCGGTGACCAACAATTGGTTTATACGCCATTTGTTCCCGCAGGATACTGGAGCCCATGTGCACCATTGGTTTGGAATCCGGTTAAAGCGCCGGGCATTCGCTATTCGTCCTCTCATTTTCGTAAACAACACCCCCGCCACGAGAAGGCAGTGAGTAGTTGGACGTAATCCCATCTGACTGGTCACAATCACTGATCGTCCCAATATATAAGAAAGGGTCAAAATCATCTTATGACAACCATAGAGAGGTTAATTTAACTAATATAGCATCTAAAATACTAGCCTCAATAATTATCGGACGCCCAAAAAACTCATGAACTGCAAACACGAGAGAATCAAGTTGGTTTCAGACCTGGTCGTGACTGCATCGACCACATAATCACCATTCGTCAGGTTTCGGAACACAAGCATGCTTATCGGCGTCCGACAATGACAGTTTTTGTTGACTGAAAAGCAGCAGCATATGACTGTAGACCAAAAGCTTCTGTGGCAGTGTCTGTCATTGAAAGGTGTACCTCAGAGGTACATAAACCTTGTGAAGGCTCTTTACTCGAACACTACTAGTCGAGTCAGAGCTTATGGCGAACTGTCACCTGTTTTTGCAACATCAAGTGGTGTCTGTCAAGGCTGTCCACTTTCTCCATTTTTGTTTAGCTTCATCATAGACCTACTGATGGAAATAACATTCTCATCGACTGAATTTTCGGGCAATGATCTCCCTCCAGGAGGTCCACTTATCGACTTGAAATACACAGACGACACAGTCCTGTTTGGCAAAGACGTTGATAAAATCCAGTCTTTTGGTAGCACTAAGCAACAATGCCAGAACGTTTTGAATGCGCTTCTTCCCCTCTACTTGCAAGTTGTTGCTTCAGGATTGGTCTGCGTCAACACCTGAACTAAGGATAGGGAGTGAAGTAGTCGAACGCGTCGACAACCTCATTTATCTTGGAAGTCTGATCGGCCCTAATGGGTCGGTGTCTGACGAAATCTCAGCACGGATTCGAAAGGCTCGTTAGGCTTTTGCCAACGCACGTCACCTATGGCGAAGGCGAGATATCCGTCTATCAATAAAAGAACGAGTATTAGGGAATGATGGTAAATCAGTTTATGAGGTTGTGAATCTTCATCGACTGAGATAGTTGGGAACACGTGTTACGTATGCCTGAACACCGATTACCATGATGTGCAATGCTAGCCGATGTTGGGGATGGTTAGAAGAAAGTTAGGGGCGGCCAAACCAAAACGTGGTATCAGTCCTTGAAGTCACTAACTTCTAGTCTGAGCCATGTTGCTAGATGCAGACTACTTGATTGCGGTCCGCGTGACTATCGTAACCAATGGTTGGAGACTCTTGGTGACATGGCTCAGAATCGATCACAATGGCGTAGGTGTATACACTCTCTATCTTCCCTCAAACCATGAAATTAAAATTGCTTCATATCTTTGTTTCATATATTACCACCACTGGATTAACTACTTCTATGAATCCGGTGTTCATCTTGTTGTGCTAATGGGGTATGGCAACTTGGACCGATGCACATATGTGCCTGGTCTTACGTTGTAGCTGACTGACTAACTTTGGGCTGAGAATTACTCTACATTGTCCTAAAAATATAATATTGAATAAAACCATAATAATAATAATCCTTATAGTTCCATGGCATCAACCCTTTTCATGTGTGGATGAGTACGTTTCTTCGTCAGATTTCGCAAGAGATAGTCAATCCATATTCAGTCACACGTACATACATAGACTAACATTTTATTTTTAGTACGGACGGTATAACACCTATGTCTATAACAGACAAGCTTCGTTTAAATAGTATGATCAAAATCGATATCCAGAATAAAAATAACTAGTCGAAACACATTTTATCCATTCATAAAACTCACCTGTACATCACCTCCAAAATAAACCAAATTAACAGTAGGATTCACTTTTGTTCCGAGGAAAATTACATCATTACGTTTCTTAAGATAACCCACACAATTCTTAAGTTCACGCTTTATTAAACACATCTTGAAATTTAATCTATAGCCAGAGAGAAAGAGGATTTTTACGAGAAAGGTTTTAGTACTATAAGCAAAGGTTTTTGAAAAGTAATATGCTGTTTATTAGTTTGCTTTTGTTTAAAAAATGAATCGATCTAAGAACTATCACTGAAGAGTATTTATCGGATACTTATTAAGTAACTAGCTTTGCTAGTAAAATATTCCAATTTAGTTATTCACCTATAAAAAATGTAAGACCTGATACAAATGTACATCGGTTCCGATTGCCACACTACTGCAACACAGCGAGGAAAAGTGAACAAAAATACCAGTGCGCACTTATCTAGTACTCAAGGTCAACAAGTTAATTGGTTTCAATGATTTCCCTAATCTGGAATTTTTATAAACAACAATCAAGTCTTAATTGACTGGAGAATGAATGATCTATCGGTTGATTTCTCCTAATCACCTATAACATTTGGTCATGTTTGTTTTGGGTTCATATTCATCATAGAAACATTTTATTTTATTCCATAAAAACCTATTCATTTGACTAGTGATATTGTTTTTGATTTTGAACTATCCAGAAACTTAAGTCGATAATATGATTTTGTGAGGATCTATCACTCGACCACAACATATTATTGGGGTCATCTATCGACCGGCATTTTAACCATTTATTTCAACAATCAAAAATGTCTCGTTAATCATCGAAAATTTCATCTATAAAGGTGGTAACGAGGATAAGGTGAAAATTAGTTTTTAAAATCCTTACTACTATAGATGGGTAGAACTTATTGTTCATCAAGTTAGGGCGGTCGTAGACCAGAATGCTTCCAAATGAATCAAAATCTGATCACAACTAACACGTTAATAACTTACAACTGAATACAGTTCACAATGAAGAATGCAATAGAGACCAAAATCTCAGTTCATGCAACAATACAATGGTCGAAAGCAATGACGTACCTAAGTGGATATAGACCTGAAGTTACTGAAAATTCAAATGCAGTCATGCAATATCAGTAAGAATTCCCAGGGAATTCTTTAATTTCAAGTCCAGAACCTACAATTTCAGTCACACATCATTAATCAGAGTCTACAGTACATATGTCAGATCAACCCTCACAAAACACATCGAATAATCTCACGAGAACCACTTACTTTCGCAATTACAGCACACGACCACTTTAGGTGCTTACATTATTATGAATCAACTCATGCAACAAATGAAAGAGGAAATGAAGTATCTTACATTTTATATCAATAAGGCTGTTGTAATCAGAAAAAGAAACAAAAATATGGCTCATGGTCAATGTACAAACATGTAAGTTTTAAAAAGATTTAACTATGCTTTATTTATCTTTGAAAAAAACAAGATACAGAACAATTGCAACTTGGCCAAACAGGTATCCAGTCACAGTTTAAAGCACAAGAAACTTACGGCAAGAATACTTGATTATAATTGTTCAGAGGAGCAATCTATGATATTGTTCACATACTAAATGATTTAAGATATACCATAAAATTTGTTTCCATACGATACTACAAGCTATGGATACATTTTCTACAGAAAACGACAGAAAAGCCTCCAGGAGGTTCATTTAACTAAACATGCAGTCTTTTCTAGACCTGTACTTAGAGAGGTACAAATTTCACACGAACTTATGTATAAATAACCTTCAACAGGATAATAATTAGAATGAAATTAGGCGAGATTATAGGTTATGGACGAACCAATCACGTATAAGATAACAGGTCTCGGATTTTGGCGCGAAATTCACTCATTCATTCGGACAAACAGAGTTTTGGCACTATACCTGATGTCAGTTCGTGATGAAAACCCTAAATCTAATTTCGAACTTTAATCATAAACTGTAAATCATAATTTTAATTCATCACACACGTCTACACCTCTCATTTGGACCTGGTTACTAGGTGGGTACTTTCAAGGTCAGTCTGGCGTCGCTCAATAGTCGTCCATAAATCATAGTCTCCCCAGAAATAAAAAATATCAGAAACAAAAGCAGCTCTAAACTTTAGTAACACTTTCGCAAAGCTTCTTTTATGAAAAACAGTTAGAGCATATCGCGATTATTGTTGGAGATTTAAACAGTTGATGAGAGTTAAGAGCGGAGTAGGACATACAATCTTTCAGACGTATCTGAATTTTGATGGTCTTAATACGCGTTTGATAGTGTAATGTCAGTAAACGACGAATGTCACTTAACGCTTTTATATTGTCATTAAAAGCAATGGAGCAGGACATCAGTCAGTCAGCTACAACGTAGGACCAGGCACATAAGTGCATCGGTTCAAGTTGTCATACCTCAATAGCACAAGTTGCCACATCCTCACAAAATAATAGATTGAAGCAGAAAGGAAAAGAATGAAGCTAGCCAAATTTCAGGAAAGAGATTTTTGATGTTAAGTGTGGGAACTGACGATTCAACTTGACTACCCAACTCATGAGAGGTGATATCTTGAAACAACTTCAGGTATAAAACAATGTCGTAAAATCGCATGAATAAAGTAAATAAATACATATATAACTGCGGTAATATTATGAGAGTTGACTACAATTTTGTTCTTCAAAAAATTTACCATATACAACGAAAATTTATAAAGTAACTGAGATCCCACATCTTTTTAAATTATCCTCTTTTGACTCACTTGAGAAATGGCAGGAAAACTTGGCATACCGAATAGTTTGGAAACAGCTTACTATTTTCAAACCATTGCTCAACATCTATTGATCAAAAATATTCATTCAGCAGATCATAACATTCCAAACTACAATGAAGATACCGTGTTTTTCTGGACTTGTAGATGAATAGCCAAGAAAAGGATTCAGTATTATTTACTATCAAAAAGCCTGGCACAATCGGACAAAAAGATGGGCCACACAAAAAAGTATCGAAAATATTTTGGAGGAATATAAGGGAGGAAAGTAGTGTGATCAATAAAGAAGTTTTAAAAAATAGAATACAGTAGGAGATAACAACCAACTAAAGATACAAGAACGAAAGTTTTTCCCAGATAGGAAAAATTATCGAACTATTGTGGAAAGTCGAATAAAATATTGCAACAAAGTTGCCATTGTTTTTTATTCTGAACCATACAAAAACCTCTCAACAAAGTTGGACCACGTTTAAGATCTCAACGGAGGAAATGTGATGGACCGACAGATCCAAGTACTAAACTGCTTCCTTTCATACTACGGTGACGTGTTATAAACTGATAGCCTCTTCGCTTTCTCCAACTATTCCTAGCACCAGTATATAATGGGCGATGTGGGAGCCACTAGGATAAAATTTGTAGTCATTGTCCCCATAATGGAGAGATAGGATTACCGGCAAGAAGTTACACAAGCGTAGAGTATAAAAAAGCTGATAGTTTGGACTAGAAGTTAGTAGAGAAAGGCTTAAACCCGCTATAGTTTTGTAGTGCCCAAACCGATCATACGGTTATAACTGTCCCGAGCTCACAATTTTAGGGAAATTTTGGGGTTATTGTGCTATTTCCCCAAAATGTGCCAAATTTTTCCCAAAATTGGGAGCTCGGGACAGTAACAACAGCAGTTGCTGTTAAAGTAGAAACACCCGATGATATGCATATAAATTCTCCATCTAATTAGTTGACTGAAAACGCTAAATTGATCGTATTGAACCAACCAGTCAATTGATAAATAGTTTTGAAGTCAAAAGTCGCTTCTTACTGTTGCTTTGCCTTTCTCAAGGACAACCTTGAGGTTGAATATCCACCATTGTAAACGAGATTGATCAAGAAGGAAAAATCACTGAAATACTTCAGTCTTCAAAATTAGGCGTAAAATATAGAGTGGAATATAATAATGACTAAGATTTTCAGCGTTGTAAAAGTTTAATCTCTGTATTAATTTATCAAAAGTGGATGCATCACAGATCATCTCCCGCTGTTCACGTTGATCTGAGGTTTGTTTTGTTGTTTTTGAAAATCTTCCGAAATGAGAGTCAACGTTGGTATATTTACTGTACCTCTGCGTTAATCAGTCAAAAAGTTCATCAAAACCCTTTCTTTGGCCAACTACCGGACTAAATGGTGGAATAAAAGTACGATGTGAGGTGATTTCTTGAAGACCAACGACTGTGATCTAGGTTTCGTGCAAACTTTGTTGTTCTCCAAGTCGCCTAGCGAAATATGTTTGAAATTAATCAATTCTGGTCACTTAATTTATCAGCAAATATGAGATATGAAACACGAATACACTGTTGAACTAATAATCAGAGTACTACCTTATTTGTTAGGTAACAGTAAAGGTGCCACATGTATTCGGAATTTCACAACATTCTCAAACGTAGTACAGGACCAGTGAAATGTCACTGAGCCCTAGCCAAATCATCCGGCAGTTGGATCACTGAATGTCGAACAGATCATCGTTCCCTGCCAAGGTCATGTACAACCAACGCGCATCAGTTATTAGTATGCCATGGACTGACCCATGCGGCAGTCGTCTTACTTTCGTGCCATTCCGAAACACCGAGAGACGATGAATGAAGTATACTAAATGATTCAATTCAGAAGTAAGAAATGAAAAGGTCCGAAAATACATTTGAAAAGCTGTAGTGACGTACGTTTATCAAGAGAACGCAATTGGTATAATGGAAAGAACTATTATCATAACCATTTGTTCCACTGGTTATTTCACTATACTTGTTTGTTTAACTGTACTAAAGACATTCTTCCTTCCGTCGGTTGTGACCTTACACGAACTTACGTTTGTTCAGTAGTTTCGCTTGTACTCCTTTGGCACGATCTCGGTATTATTCCGATACCACGAGATCGCCAACAAATATATATCGTCACAACCTTCAGTCACCTTCTGATTTCTGGTTTACCCGGAGGTTTAGCCTGTTCTGGTACGCAATCTTCTTGTAGTGATGACCATAGTCAAACGCGACTCGACGCCAAACTACAAATGTTGAACGCGAAACTAAGAACACTTTTCAATCGTGGTCAAATCTTCCCGAAAAGCCAATTGCAGTGAGTCTATTACTTATCTATTCACGTCTGTTGCACATTTCCATATTTTTTTTCAATACATAATATTCTGTCAACAACTTGAGATGACCGATAACGATAGGAATGGTATTATTATTATGAACTCTGACGTACAGGTTGTCCACTTTCGACCTGTCTTCTATACCCTACAATCCGGAAGTTTGGTTCGCGGCACTGAAGTCTCTGTTCGAGACCCTCCGCACTACGAGCCAACGGCAAAAATATGCCTACGCTCCGGAATCTTTACCAATGTATCATATAGTCGCTGTCCGTGAGGTTTTCCCCAACCGCAATGTACCTAAAGTTTATGACCGCCTCGAGGAGGCGATCCTCAGACATTTCCACCCATGTAGGGAGGAACGGTCGAGGACATTATTAGCAGGTCACCCCCTAGGTAATGCTAAGCTGAGCCACCACCTCACGCACCTGCAATCTCTTGTAGGACCCACGGCAGCTGATTCTGAAATTGTTAAGTAATTTTGGCTCGAATCGTTACCAGCACACATCCAACCAACGATCACGGCCCTGCTCGAGGATGCGCTACTCAACCAGGTGGCCTTCATAGCAGACAAAATATTGGCAAGGACTGGCATTCGAGACAACTTTAAAGTTGCCTGAACGTCACGTTCGAACGTGGATATCAAAGCTAGTCGCTTCCCGGCTCAAGGTGATAGGAGCGGTCGTATTCATACACCTCTTAACTTCCGAGACCGTTGTGATATCCCTGAGCCCTACGTCCCTCAAGTCGGATCGCGCTCTCGGAAAGCTGCAACCACTCGCTCAGCGCAGGCATCTTCCAAGCCACGCCAATAGGCGGGTTCGGAAGAGAGTGTGGGTTGATGCTGGTTTCACCGCTCATTCGGGTCCGGTGCCCACCATTGTCGAGCCCCGTGCTCATACAAGGCGAGAAACTTTCGAGCTGGCGAGTAAATGCGGCCATACTCGCTGGCCCCTCACCCCAGGTTGGCCGTTTATATTATGTGCACGATTATCGCACGAACGCTAGATACCTAGCAGATATAGATGCCCACGTTTCTGTCATAAGTCTTGGTAACAGTAAGTCACAAGCTACGACGCTTCAGCTACGCCCTGTGATTGGTTCAGCCATTCCTACCTATGGTACACGACAACTCACGGTCAACCTGGGCAACCGACAACAGTATCTGTGGACGTTCATCATTGTCAATGTTCCCACAGCCATACTCGGTATTGATTTCATACAGCACTACGAAGTGCTAGTCGATTCAAGTAGGCTGCAGTTAATTGATACTTCGTCGAACAGCAAAGTCATGGGCTTCAAAGCTCAAAAAACGCTTACCGAATCTTAGGCGTCTTTTATTCGCGTGACGATATATTCCATGCCTCATTCGAGAAATTCCCCAAATTAACTAAACCACTCGAGGAGATTCCATCGGTGACAAATCGTGTGGTACACTGCATAGTCACCTGCGAACCCCTAGTCACGGTAAGATCACGCCGACTGGCACCGGAAAACTTGGCTTTCGCTAAGCGTGAGTTTGTGTTATAGTCCAAAGACGCCAATCAGAAGCAGCGAGTTATCGATCGGATCAAGGACGCGTAAAACACATGCGAGCAGCTTAGAGTCCTGACTGACCCTGCTTCCTGCCTAGCCCAACCAGTTAAGTCCAGAACACGAGTCTCAGTCCTTGCGATATGAATCATTATATTTAAAACATCCTGAGTGTATATATCAACCAAACAGATCACAACGTACCAATAAAATATGAAACAACATTTGTACAAGAATTAGACAGATGTGGCTGTGAATGAGGGAGGTAGTAATTAATATACTGGGTATAACTCAACAGTGGTAAAACGTATAATAATAGGTTATGGGTCAAAATGAAGCTTATAATAAGAGGAATATGAATATGCATAGTTTGGTTACTTGATAATTAGACAATAGAAAATATACGTTTAATATTGGGCCTCACCTCTTCACATGGTGCGCAAAAAGGATGGGATTAGTTAGAGACCAATTGGCGACTACCGAGCGTTAAACGTAGTTACACCCATTCCCCACATGCACAACATCATCGCATCGCTCAAGGGCACAACTGTCTTTTCTAAGATCGATCTGGTACGAGCATATCATCAGATCCCAGTCGCTCTTGAAGATATCAAGAAAACCGCTATCACGACTCCTTTCGGTCTGTTTGAGTTCCTACGAATGCCATTTGGATTACGGAATGCTCTTCAAACTTTCCAAAGGTTTATCGATAGCATGATACGAGACTTTGATTTCGTTTACGTCTATATTGATGACTTGCTAATCGCATCATCAAACGTAGATGAACACTATCAAAATCTTACACTGTTATTCCAACGCTTTTCGGATAATACAATAGTAGTCAACCCGGACAAGTGTGAATCTGGCAAACCAGAAACAATGTTCTCGCGTCACATCATTAAGTAAGAGGGTATTTCACCTTGCGAGGACAAAGTACGTGCAATAAGGGAGTACAACGTACCGTCCACACTCAAGGAACTGAATGCATTTTTCGGTTTGGTTAACTTCTATCGACGTTCCATCCCACACGCGGCAGAACGGTTGCGACCATTAACCGATTTACTTCGCGGTAATCCACGCAAATTAGAATTGAACAATGCCGCACGTACTGCATTTTCAGAGATCAAAA